GTGTGAGTTCCTGTTGTTGCAATGTGGCCCTCCATTCGACATTGGAATTTGTTTGCCCACATCACTCGTCGGTCACCCAACCTGGCCACACCCTGCATTGAAGTATGGTGCTATCAAGAGCACTTGACCCCCAGGACACATGTTTTCAGAACTGGCGGCATTGGGATCGTGGCATGCATTTCCCACAGGGGGGGGCATGCGGGATTTTGCCCCTGACCCCCACCCCAGGGACATGTTAGGACATGTTCTGGTGATTCGGTTGTATCCATTCACCCTGCGGCTTTCGCCCCTCCTGGGGAACAACTGCACCGTTGTTTTTCTCACGCAGTTCTCTGGGCGTCCACGCGTCGTCCCAGCGCTCTGTTACCATGTGTGACCCCATGTTGATGCTCAGAGTGACCTCATGTTGATGCTCAGAGTGCGATTGAAACACTTGTTTTATTTCGCACGGTTTTCGGACTTGCTTCATGTCTTTGTTCCAATCATTGGCATCGTGCTACGATGAAGGTCCGAGTGTGTTCCGGCCAGGCTTCGTTGGCGCTCCAGCTAGGCTCCAGGTGCGTTCCGAATGGGCCCCGACGAGGCTCCGACTGCCCTCCGATTGGGCTCCGATCAGGTTGCCCTCGTATGATCCTGTATACGTATATATATATATATATATGTGTGTGTGTGTGAACATGCATAGTTCGGTATATACGTGTAAATACGGTGGGGCGTTGATTAAGGAATGTGCCCAGGAGGCTGCAGACCCTGGAGGATTCCCTATTTGATGATGGCGGCGGTGATATCCGTGGCCAAGCCTCAATTGGAGTTCCACCGGCCTCCAGACCCTGGATTCCTTATCTAAGGGTTCCTTATCCAATGCCCCCACCGTATAATCATATGTACATGTGCGTATGAGTACGATTATATTTGTATGCGTATATATGTATATATATATATGTGTGTGTATGTGCACATATTTATGTTCATAAATATGCACAAATGATCGGCATATTTATATATGATATACAGGGGCTCCCGGGTCCCCGTCCGGGCCCCCTGGCACACAGGCAAAATATCCGGGGTACGGCGTTGTTACCGCCCTCCTGAGCATCCAAGACCGCCCGAGACGATCCTTGAAAGGCAACAGGATGGGCCAAGAATGCCTAAGATGGCCCCAAGACAGCCCAAGAGTGCCCACGGGAGGTCACAGAATCATTCAAATAAAGGTTCCAAGATGGATTTCAAGTCGCCCCACGGCTTCCCAAGGACGCCTTCGAGGGCTTCGAAAAGTTCAAAGACATTGTGTGTATGTTCAAAGGTTGTGGCTCTCTCGCCTTTCCCGTTCCGATGGGGTCTTGGGAGCCTCAAGTTGTCTCCAAGATCGCCCAGCAAAGCTCCAGGAGAGGCCCAACACGGGCCCAAGACGCTCCTAGAGAATTCCAAGATAGCCCCAGGACGGCCCAACACCCTGACAGGGGCGCCCACGACGCCCCAGGAGAGACCGAGGACGCCCCCAAGAGGCCCCCGAGATGTCCCACAAGCGTTGCCCGAGCGGCACTCTGGTCGCGTTTGGCGCCAATGTGGCTCCCGGAGGCCTCCAAGAGGCTCCGAAGAGGCTCCCCAGAGGCTTCCAAGGGCCCCCAAGAGGCTCCCAAGAGGTCCCCAGTAGATGCCCAAGTGGCCCCCAAGAGTCCCCCCGAGCGGCCCCCGACACCTCCTTCTCCCCCTTCTCCTTCTCCTCCTCCTCCTCCTCCTCCCCCTCCTCATCCTACTCCTCCTTCTCCTTCTCCTCCTCCTCCTCATCATCATCATCGTTCTCCTCCTTCGTGTTTGCAGAGGTTTGGATGCGGAGTGAAGCTGCCTTCTGAAGGCCACTCAGCCTCAGGGGCCAACTTTGTAGAGCGATGCGTTGACCATCGCATTCGTCCTCTCCCCTTTCCCTGCGATGTTCCTCCTTCATGCTCCTGCCCCCCACTCCTCCTCCTCCTCCTCCTCCTCCTCCTCCTCCTCCTCCTCCTCCTCCTCTTCATCTTCCTTCTCCTCCCTTTGCCCTCCGCCAGCCGCAGCTAGTTTCGGCCCCGCTGCTGGGCGCTTTCCTCGACGCATGGCCGCCATTGGCGCCAGGAGGCGCCCGGAAAATTAGCCATGTGAGCCGATTTGTTACCCCGCCCTTTGCTTCACCCCCGTTCGGCTGGTCCGATTTTCGGGTTCGACTCCATGGATCTTAGCCGGCTTCGCGCAGATGCCCCGCGCGGAGCGTATCCCTTGGATCGCGTATCGATGGGGTTCGCGCCTCGGAAGCCAGACCGCGAGGGCACGGATATGGGAATGTTCGTCGTTCGCGGCTATCGCAGAGGGGACGGAGGAGGGACATACGGTCGGCGGCTCTCAGGCAGCTGCCGGGCCTCTGGGACCTCTCCCCAACGGCCCCAGGGCCGTCCCAGACTGCCCCAGAAGGGCCAAGAGAGCCTCAAGAGGCCTCCATGACGATCCAATAGCGCCCCGAATCACTAACAGAGGCGCTCAACACGCACCAGATGGCCTCCTGACGGCCCAACAGGCCTCAAAGACGACCCATGATGTCTCCAAGAGCAATTCCACGAAAACCCCAAGACCGCAAACTACGAGGATGGAGTGTGTGTGTGTGTGTGTGTGCGCGCGCGCGTGTGTGTGTGTGAGAGAGCGTGCGATGGTATACTTCTACATTTGCAAATACATAAAACAATCCACCTATCTATAAATATATATATATATATATATATATATATCAAAGCTAGGTTATGGGCGCACGCCTTCCGGCGAGGATGAGTTGGGGATTCCGTTACGGACTGAGCCATCAAGTGGGCCGCCGCCAGCTTCGGGAAAGACGTGGGCGTTTCGCCCGCCTGATTTTTTTTGAACCCGCCCCTGGCCAACGTTGCGTGGTGAAGGGTGGTTTTGCTTATATGGGATGGGAAATGAGCTTTTCTGGACAGCGTCCTTGCAGAAGGTTGCATACACCGTTTTTGACGTGGGTGGGTGTTATATCGACATCTTCTTTTGGGCCCACATGTCTCTGGGGAGTGAGAGTTGTCTAGAAGCACGCCCCCTTACTAATTCCCCCGTGTGGTGGCAACCCTGGACGGCCTCTGAGCACCTTCGGGGCTTGCTGAGGAACAGGTGCAGCCCAGCTCTTCGCGACAGTAGTGCGTGGGCGCTGGCGAGCCTGGTACCGCCGCGACACCCCTCTCGCCGAGCTGATTGGTCCTCCCGATTGTATCGTAGCCGATTGCACAGACGTTCCCACGGGCGCGCTAAAGCTACATTTTAGAAACAGCCCAGCGCGGCCACTTCAGATCCTGTCACGCACTGCGAGCTTCACGCTCCCTCCACGCCTGAACATCCCGAGACGGATGTCCGTCCACCGGCTGCGGCCTCCCAGCCGACCAGGCACTCGGGCTGCGGATGTCGTCTCCTGCGACGCCTCGATGGGGCGAGCACGCAGCGGCTCTTGAGCGATGGATCAGTTCAAGCGACTGCTGGAGACCTCCGCGGGCGAGGGCACCCGCGCACCGCATCTACCGGTGGGCTTGCCGGTCCCTTGCCACGGAGGCTGAGGTCGGAGGGACGTCGGAGAGAGTCGGCACGCCCGTCCTGTTACAAGCTGCCGCTCCAAGCACCATTGTTGTGGAGTGCCTTTGGCCTTTGGCCCGTGCTCCCTGGTAATCCTGGTCTCCCTCGCCGCTTGCATCTTCTTTCTTTCTTTATTTCTTTCTCTCTCTCTCTCATCTTTCTGATGGCCTTCCTTTTTGTTCTTTCTCTCTCTCTCTCTATCCCTCTCTCTCTATCCCTCTCTTTGGAAGTACCTCCATCGGCCATTCCCGGTTGCTCCTCTCCGTCTGGAGTTCTTCCCTGTGTGCTCCTTGGAAGAGAGCCCCGTGCCCCGGGGCTACTCCAGATTTCGTAATAAAGGGAGGGGGGTCTCATTTGGGGGGGGGTCTCTTCCAGGCTATCTTGGAGGGCCTGGGGGGGTCTGGGGACGATGTTTTGGAGGGTTCTCCCACGGGGGGGGGTCTAAAACTTCTCGTCTGGGAGGGTTGAGACCCCCTCCCTTTTATTACGAAATCTGGAGTACTCTCCACCCTGCCTCGCGCCGGGGCGGCGGATTCAAGCACGTACTGGCGGTGGCACTGCGACCGCCGCATCACCAGCTCGCTGCTCGCTCTGGGCGGGGCAGGGGCAGCGCGGGGGGAGGAGGAGGAGGGGGAGGAGGAGGAGGAGGAGGAGGAGGAGGAGGAGGAGGAGGAGGAGGAGGAGGAGGAGGAGGAGGAGGAGGAGGAGGAGGAGCGACGACGTTTCGCCCGACGGATCCAGAGCACCGCCAAGACGACTCGTCGCCGCCTAGCGGGCCGCGTCCGTACTTCAGCGTATGCGTGACTCTTCGCCCGCCCGTGCTGGACTGTCGAGCTCCATCCCCAGACCCTCTCGGGCGATGCAAAAATCATGACGGGAGGTTTTTCGCAATTTTCGGCCTCCAGGGGCCCCTACCGGGCCTCGGGAGCGTCAAACAACGACTCGTGATGAGAAGCGGGTCCAGGAGAATGGGTCGACACCTCTGAGGGTCGACGTTATGAACAAATCACTACGTCGAGTCTGGGTCTTCCGCTCCTGCTGGTAACGCTGTCCCACTGTGGACGGAAGCGTGGCTCAAATGGGGCGAATGTGTTGCACGCGTACTTTCCATCCTTTCCATGAGCCGTATCTGCTCTGACCCTGAGATCCGACGGCGCGGAAAAGTTGAGACATCGCAGAAAATGACTACAGGAGCTCTAGACCCAATCTTTCTGCGGCATTTTTCGGGCCAGATCGATTAGTGAGGGTCCCGGGCCCCGAAACCTGACGAAAACGCCCGTCTCGAAAAAATTGAAGCCCCAGGATCTCAGGGGAGTGGTTGCTTCCGTGCTCCGAGGTGGATCGAACTGCCACTGGTTGCCAGGTTTTTTTCCTGCTCCTGGCGGCTGCTGGCTGCTCCGCTGCCAGGATGTGCTTCTCTGTTGTGCTCCTGGTTGTTCTCGGGCGTTTCCTCTGCAGTGGGCTCGTTTGTTGTTCCTGGCTCTCCTGGCGGATCCTGGCTGCTCCCCCCCCCGCGCCCGGATGCAGAGGCATCGGCTACGCGTGCGAGTGGCCCTTCGCCAGAGTGACCTTCTCAGGCCGAAGATTCCAGGTGACGCTGTGGACGACTCGGTCGCGACCAAAGTGCGGCCTCTGGTCGCAAATTTCGGCAACGAGCGCGCCATCGACATCCTCCAATCCCTTGCCTGAACCCCGACGCGCCGTCGCCTCGCTGCCGACATGCGACCCCCTCAGGTCGCGACCGAAAGTCGACGCGACCGAAGTCCGTTACCGGCAGTCTCTGGTCGCGGGCGGTCTGGGTTCGGGGGCCCCCAAACGGGGTGGTGACCACACCGTGCGGTGAGTCGGTGGGGACTCGGGGTCACCGCACGGTTTTGGGACTCGGGTCGTTCTCCGAGGATGTCTCGGGCGACAGGGGCCTCCGGGGTCCCAAGACCGTGCGGTGACGGACCGTGCGGTGAGGTCTTGGGGGATTTCGAGGTCACCGCACGGTGTGTCACCGCACCGTTTCGGGGCTCCAAATAGGCTTAGTGCGAGCCCACTGGGGTCCCCCCAGTCATGGCTCGCGCGCTCGGATTTGCCCCTCCCCCCTGCGCCCCCCACGCCGCGCACCAGAGGCCACTCCACGAAGCAGAAGAAGAAACGGCATACACATATACATTGCTCAGGAGGGGAAAAACACACAGACACAATTAATCGTCGGTTCCCAGGAAAGTATAGGAAAATATGGAAAGTGGGGGGGAAGACAGAAACCCAGAAAATATAGGAAAAAATTGGGAATCTGTTTATTTGTGTGTATTCATCTGTGTGTCCTTGGGCCCCTTCAGATTTGCCCCTCCCCCCTGCGCCCCCCAAGCCGCGCACAAGAGGCCATTCCACGAAGCAGAAGAAGAAGCTGCGTAAACCTACACTGTTGGAGCTCCCCGCCGATGTCTTGGATCTGCGTGCTCGTCCCCCCTCCCTGGCCGGCGGAGCGCGCCAGGGGCGGCGCCGGAGGCGCCGCCAGGGGCCCCAGCGCCGATCGAGGAAATCTCTGCGGAGTTCCGAGAGTTAATTTTTCTGCCGTGTTGTTACTGTAATTCTCGCCGCATCTATGCGATGGAAGAAAAATCCCAGGGAGGCTTGTCCAGGGGGGGTTGTCTGGATCCCCGCCTGGGTTGTCGAAGGGGTTGTCCGGGGTAGGTTGCCTCGTCGTCATTATAATCAGGATGGGTGGGTTGTCCGGGCTGTCCAGGGGGGGGTCCGGGGATTCTTTGTGTGCTGGATGATTTTGTAGGGCCAATCCTTATAGTCAGGATGGGCAACTTTCCCACGGGCACCCTTGCATCCTTGCCTCCTCGGTCCATCCTTGGCCACTCTCGCTGGCCGCGCCCCGCTCGCAAAGCTTCGACATGGCCCTCCAAGGCCCTTGCATCCTTGTCGTGCGTCCTTTCATGATACGGGTTGAGCCACCCTTGCGCGTGGCCAAACGTAGGGTTCAGTCGGGCCTGTCCCTCTACAGGGGGAATGTTCAAACATAGTTTGTTACAAAAAAAGTCGAGTGACGATTTTTTCCCAACTATTTCTGAAGACTTGTGGAGTATTTTTCTGGGGGGGTATTTTTAATTTATCGTCCAAGATCCGCCTGTAGGGGGACGTTGTTCCCATCCTACTTCAGGACCACATCCCAGAAATAATTTCGAGCACCCAGAAAAGTGCCAAACGAGTGTCGAAACAGTGTCGAGACAGTGACGGGCGAGTGTCTACCAGGGCCCGACACTTGAAGACCCGGGAGTTTCGGTATTTCTCGGGGCGCTCGGAACTCTTCCTGGTGATCGAGGCGAAAGTAGGTTGGAGCATCATAACTGCAGGGGGACATGCCCGACCTCAGCGTAGGGTGGGAACAGCGCGGCTGCTCCTCGGGCGGGGCGGGCCGGCGCGAGGCCGGCGGGCAGCTGCAGGTCCAGAGGGGGGGGGGGGGGCGCGGGCGCGCTTTGCTCGGGCCACTGGGGGGCTCCCCTGGCCAGGACCTCGTGGGCCTCCTCCCTCCTCCCTCCTCCCTCCTCCTCCCTCCTCCTCCCTCCTCCCTCCTCTCCTCCCCTCCTCCGCCCCCTCCTCCTCCTCCTGCTCCTCCTCCTCCTCCTCCTCCTCCTCCTCCTCCTCCTGCTCCTCCTGGGAGGCGTGCACTGCGGAGGCCGTGATCTCGTGCAGGGGGAGGGGATCCGGGGCAGCGGCAGAGGGCCCCGAGCCCCTGGCGTCCAATGTTGTTCGAGCCGGGCGTCTTCGCCTCTCTGTTAGGCCGCGGGGCCCTCGCATGTCGATGCGGCTCGAGGGCTGACGCAGAAAGAGGGGGTCTAGGGCTTTGGGCGTGATTTTTACGGAGTTGCCATTTTTTCGCTGCGTCGGAGCTCAGGGGGGGGGGGG